CGCATACGGCAATGCCATAATGTATTTTCCTATGCGATCTGCACCATTGCACGGCATACTACAGGTGTAGCTCCTCCCCCGCCCGCGTAGCGTGACATGTAAGTGTCACACGGGCTTCACTGGCTAACGTGAGGCAGTGCGTACGGGTGCCTCACACACGCCCAGGGGAGTCAGACATCCGGAAAGAAAGACTGAGGCTGACTAGCACGAGGAGTCCAGGACTGTTCTGGGATTGATTGAGAGCTGGCCAAAGTTTATGCGTAAGTTACTCTCACAACTTGCGGTTCTCAACCTGGGGGTCGATTGACGATTTGGCAGGGGTCGCCTAGCGGCTCCCGGCCACCCACGAGAGAAGCGCTGTCAGAAAAGAAAAAAATAACTTTCTCCCAGAAAGGTTTAGTCGGCAAACTAGCTATTACACCCGCCCACTGCTGCTGTCAATCAGCAGAGGGGGACCTGCAGTTCTCCATCAGGTTCCCATCTAGTGAATGACAGCAGCAGAGGGCGGGTGCAAGAGCTAGTTTGCTATTGGCTATTGCAAAGTGAAATAGCCAATAGAAATCTAGCTATGCATTCCTATGGTGGGGTTTTTGTTTTTTTCTGACTGACTGCGGGCCGATGTCAGAAAAAAAAACAAAAAAACAGAGCAGAGAAAGGTTTACTGAGCTCCATCCAGCAGACTAAACCTTTCGGGGAGAAAGTTTTTTTTTTCTTTTTCTGAGTGACAGGGTTAATAGTAAACCTCCGTGTGCACAGTGAGAGGGGATAGCAGTCTTACCCTCTCAACTGTCACAGGAGTTCCAGCAGAGTACTGTGCTGGGACTCCGGTATTGGAGGTGACAGGGTCAATAAAGAGAACCTGTCACCTCCAATTGCTATTACACAGGGGCTTGTTAGCTCTGTGTGATAGCAATAAAGTTAAGTGGAAAAAAATATATAAAAAATTATTAAATAAATAAAAATTAAAAAAATAAATACATAAAATTTTATAAAAAATTAAAAGGTGATTAAAAAGTAAGAAATAATAAGAAACAAATTATTTAAAAATAAGAAAATTATAAAAAAATAAACAATAGGATAAAAAAATTATTAAAAATAAACAAGTAAACAATAAGATAAATACAAATTTTAAAAAGTGATTTCTGCTGTGCTAGGTGAGAGTCCTCCTCAGCCCTCTCCTAGCGCAGCAGTGTCACTTCTCCCGACCCGCCACCAGATGTCGCTGCAGCAGCCGCGTCATCCCTAAATTTTACAGTTGGGGATCACCAAAACTTGGCAAATGTTACCAAGGGGTCCCGACCCTAGAAAGGTTGAGAACCACTGCTCTATTTAATAGAAGTATATAGGGCTGCAGCTAACGATTATTTTCATAATCGATTAGTTAGCCGATTATTAAGTTCGATTAATCGGATAAAAAAAAGTCTCCAGTGATGGACTACTAGTTTGTATTGAGATTGTAGTCCATCATGGGAGCAAGCTTGGCGCGTTGGAAGTAAAAAAAAAAGTGTGGTGTGCAATATAGTACATTGTCGCAATGCAGAATACCAGCAGCTATAGAGGAATACAGCGAATCGCAGCAATAGTACATTATACCATGATGTACATTTGCTGGGATTTGTAGTTCTCTGTAGCTGGCGTTATTCTGCATTGCACTGTATATAATGTATTATTGCTGCGATTTGTAGTCCTCTATAACTGGTGATATTCTGCAGTGTGCTGTACAATGATTATACGGTGCAATGCAGAATAACAGCAGCTATAGAGGAATACAACAAATGCCAGCAATTGTACATTATACTATAATGTCCTATTGCTGGGATTTGTAGTCCTCTGTAGCTGCTGGTATTCTGCATTGTGCCGCTGTATTATACAATGCAGAAAACAAATGTATTATACAGCCACCGACAATCAAGGGCCCACCGTCATTGCACCATTTTTGTATGCATTTCTACTATCTGAAATTCCTCCACAACTCCTTTTTAGTGCTGAGGTGCAGATTTGTGTAAGCAATCACTATTTCCCTTTTAAAGTGTTGCTGCTATCGTTATAGAGATGTGATGCTTCATTTCACACAGCAAATCAACTTTCAAACAGCTGTCTCTAATTTCTAACTTGAGCTTCAGGCTGTGCCTAGTCTGAGAGATGCAATCTGGGAGAAGGAGGTTATTAGTCTGCTGTAGGCAGGAGGATACATTTTCTCAGTCTTCCCTCCCTCAAGCTTTAGGAGAATGATATGCAGTATGTGAGGTCAGGCCCGTCTTTAATACTGATCGGACCCTGGGCAAACAATGCAGAATACCACCAGCTATAGAGGAGCAACAAATCCCAGCAATAGTACAATATACAGGGTGTTTAATGTATTATTGCTGGGATTTGTTGTTCCTCTATAGCTGCTAATGTTCTGCAGTGTGTCGCTTTAAAAAAAAAACAAAAAAAGGAAACATTAAAAAGGTGAATAAATAAATATGCAGCACTCATAACCTTAAAACATGTATTGGTGATTATCATATATAAGTGATCAAACCAAATCTATAATTGATGTGAATTTGGTTTGATCACTTATATATATACTAATCACTAATACAGATTTGATATTTAACATTAAAAAGGTATCTCGAGTGACTTACCTTGAATGACGGTGGGCCCTTGATTGTCGGTGGCCAGCTGTGAGTGAGTGAGGGAGCTTGCGGCGAGTGAGGGAGCTCACGGCGAGGAGGAGAGCAGTGGCGTGCGCGGCTTCAGCGTCCTGTGCGGTGGGCATGGCTTATGGCGTGTGGGGCCCCCGAACAGGCGAATCAATCAATAGCCTGCGAATCGGCGATCGAAAAAGTTGACAACGTTTTAAATCGTTGCTTAGTGATTGCTTACACAAATCTGCACCTCAGCACTAAAAAGGAGTTGTGGAGGAATTTCAGATAGTAGAAATGCATCCAAAAATGGTGCATTGAAATAAGCAGTGACCAACTAAACCCAAAGCTGGGTAGCTCTCTTTTGGACATATATGGGGACCCTCTAATAATCCTAAATGATGGTGTGCAAAGTCTTCCTAGGATCCAGGGGTGTAACTACAGATCACCTGGCCCCATAGCAAAAATGTTATGGGGGGCCCCCTGATGACCTCTCTCTGAGCTGTGACTACTGGCACAAAGATTCCAAAGACTCCTCTTGTGCTTCTTACATCAGCTTTCCTAAACTGTAGACTTTGGAGAGGATTAGGGTTGTCATCAACCACTCCAACCCTTAATTGATACAGTACTGTGATGTCTTCACATGTTCTATGTTTAATTTGTCTCAACAACCTAATGGGGGCCCCCTTCCACCCCCAAGCCCCATAGCAGCCGTGTGGGCTGCTATGGCTTTTGTTATGCCACTGTTGGGATCATTACACCTTCTCTAGCCATGACTTTTCTCCATAGGGTTTATGCAGAGCAATGTGGTTGCCTACTGGATTGTCCAAGGGAATAACTAGCATGTGACCACATTGCTGAAAATAAAGTAAAAAGCATTATGGCTACACGGGTAGAGCTCGGTTGTCAAACAGAAAAATTATTTTGTTGGGATCTCAGTAAAGAATTAGTTGCTTTTGTTTGAAATTGAGACTAGGGCCCATTCATACCTTTGCATTTCAGTGCATTTTTTCTCCATTGAAATCAAGAGAAACACCTAAAGTGCATCGACATGTGTTTTTACATGTCTTACACACACATGTTAATGCACATTGACATGCACTGATGTGTGTCAACAGGCGCCGTGAGGTGCAATGACATGTGTCAATGGGTGTATTTAGGTATGTGTCACAAAGTATTTGCAGTTTGATGCATTTCCATTTATTTCTATGGAAAACGCATCAGGCCAAGAATGCGAATGTGTGTTTCCAGGCTTAGACTTTTAATGCACAACCAGAAGATGCAGTATAAGACTGAACTGCCTATGTGTTGGTCTAACCTTTTAGGCTTATGCTTCAAGGCTTTCTCCTCTGTAACTGTTCATGAAAGTATAGGACTTCATCCACATGTTGACTGGTGCAGATGAGTAGTCACTTATCCAATGGTATCTGAGCGGTGAACCTATAGTCTGGAAGTGTCAAACGTGCATGGCAGCAGCAATAAAGCTGAACTTTGGGCAAGTAGCTAGGTTGGCTGTATTTGCCAAAAATGTTTTAATTCTGTAGAGGCAATTTTTGTAATTCTGCAATCTAGGCAACCCTTTCAGATAGCCCACCAAGATCCTTAACCTCCCAGTGCAAAACAGCTTGGCTAAGAACATGCCCCCAGCCTGCTGATTGGACAGTGAGGAGGTGATAGAACTAGTGAGCGCATACTTGTGCTCTCTCTGCTCCTTTGAGCATGTTTGCTCTCAGGAAAAGTGCAGCCTTAGTGGCTCTTTGTGCTGGTCTTGTCTCCCTGTTGCAGATGGAGAACAAACCAACTGAGGTAATTACACTAGTTGTATTTGAAAATGATTTTATTTTTAAAAATGTATTATTTTAATATAACTGCCTGGAGTTTAAAAATGCATGCAAAATCCATTGCACCCCATGACCTGTGTCTTACTTACATAGAGATTATAACCATCAATGTGACACACTTGATATAAATAAATAAATACACAAACGTATATCCTTTAAACAGCATTCCAATGTGCTCACACCTTTTTTCTGGGAAGTAAATGTCTGAAGCTGCACGTTTGTTTATTAGTACTTATTAGTGACTCATATAAGTGTGATAAAATATCAATTTACATCAATTTACACCAGGCCACAGCAAAATATAGAGATTTCTGGAATTTGGAGAAACACATGTGTCCAATGCCTGTTTCCTATGAAGAAAATAAACCTGCTGCTTTTTGTTGGATATGAAAGGAGGGGGAACATAAGGGGAGGCGACTTTCTTTCTCCATCACAGGGCTGTATTAGATCCTGACATTTCCAATACTTTTTCCAGAGAAGCTTGTCTCATCGGGACTGTGATGCTCATTTACACTCTTCCTTTCTTTAACAGTAGACCAGCTCATGGCTGTACCGCAATCCCCAGACTGGCCCTGGAATTAAAGCAAATCATTCATTGCACGTCACATTCCAAGCTTCCCCAAGTGACTCCCATACGGGTGATGATGCCTTTAGGACAGCTCATCAAAGGAGCCAGCTTAGATGAACTCATACAGATGTGTATTCAAACTTTTGGTGAGTTACCATAACCTTCTCTTATCATCTTTTATCTTGTTACAAAATATTTCATAGGCAATAGTAAAGTATGAAACTATGTAACTTCCACATGATGATCCTGTTCTTATTCAAGTAGGGATTGAATATGAGCAGAATTAAAACGTATCACTGTTAGGGTGATGTGTCTATCATTTAATTCTCATAAAATTGTATTGCAAAGTAATTTATTGTTGTTGCTGTGTTATTATAACAGGTTACATTTGAACATAATATTTTCTTGCAAAGAACAATTGGAATCCTACAGGTTTTACAGTCTACACAAACTTCACTTCCTCTCATTTTTTTTTTATCAGCTTGGTCATATGTCTTGTGCTCTTATGAATATTGTACTATACAAGATCATTATTCCTTGCTTCCTTTTGGAGCTGCACAATTTTATTTTTGGCTCATTGTATTCTATTTAGGTTGTATTATGTCCCGCACAATTTATTTTGTTTTCTCTTCCTGAACTCTGTAAAGACATTGATTGTTAATTTCTTAAAATACATGTGATATGGAGGATGGGGGGGAAATGCAGCACTGGGCTACCATAAACAGTAATAGATCAAATTCCATAGCCAGCTGGCCTTTCCATTGTGCCTGGTTTAATAGGCGGGTTATATTTACAACTGGAAGGAGCAATTGTTTGAAAATGTTTTGACTGCATTGATGACATATTAACAATGTAATGGTTTTATTTGTCTGCTTTCTTATATACGTTTTGGAAGTTCCTTGATTCATAAGAAAACAAAATCAATGCAGAACAAGGCCAACATTGCTGTTGCAGCAACGATAATTAAGACATCTGATGACAATTTTCAACCCTCCCATTGTCTTCTATTATGAGTATTTGTACGGCTCAAACAAGAATATTTTCCATGATGTCTGCCTCAGTTGAAATGAGCCTCTCAGTGCAAGGTCACGTAAATGTCTTTTTTTAGAATGTATTTATTAGACTAAGAAAAGACAACGATTCAAAACATACTGCATTGATAAAAGAGAGAGTTCAGCAAACTTGCTTTTTGTTTCTTGAGTGGCATAGAAGAAATATCACTGCTGGTATTTTCTATTTACTGAGCTGGCACACTGTTCTTAGTCATGGTTTTCTACTATTTAATGAGTTAAAAATGTTGACTTGAAGACTTGAAATCTTTAGCGAACCCAGATCACATGGTTTGAATGTTATCCCAAGAGATACAAGTTATGTCTGGCTTCAGAGATTAACAGTGTGGATGTGGTGGGATTTGTGGACTGCAGATAAGACCCCTTCCTGATAACAGTAGGGTAGTGCAAGTCTACTTCCTGGATGCTAGCCATCGCCTTGAATTTTGGGAATTTGTCTTGTATTAAGCTGGATGTGCCTGGTTATATAAAAATGTGTCTTGTATTAAGCTGGACGTGCCTGGTTATATCAAAACAAAGTCCCTTGGTAGATGGTACCTGAAACTTATATCTCTCATATACTGTTAGAAATAAATGATTACTCCTGGATGCAGATAGATTGCGTCCAGGAGTAATCATCTATCCCTAACTGCAGGTAATTGTTCCATTGTATTCGGACAGCTGAGGGCAGATGCAGCCACTGTCAGCCTATCATTCACTTTAACAGGCTGAGTGGCCACCTGTGATCTTTGGCGCAAGTGTCCACAGCTTGTTGCCGCAGAAATAGACAGCCACAGCTATTAGCCCCATGTGCATGTGGCCAAATTACTCAGTAACTGGGAGGACCTCTCGTTTGGGACTAGAGGGTCAGCATAGGGGTCAATGCTTTACTGAGGGAGGGAGACTTGTACCTAAAAATGGTCAGAAACTGATGGTAGAATGTTGGAAAACGTATCCATATAATCAGAGCTGTTCTACTGTCGCCCTACCCCAAAAGAAAAGCTCCACAGACATATTTCCATATTTGAACATATAAACGATGCTGTGAATAAAATAGCTTATAATGTCTATCTACAAATAATTTGGGTTCATGTTTGCTTGCTCTGCGGATTTATATGTAGATTTCTGGTTGTTTTGCTACCTGGCAGCAGTGAAATGAGCCATTTCATCTGGTTCTTGACCTTTCTCTTTCTTCAGTCTCCACGCAGAGCTCCAGCGGAGCAGGCACAAACCCTGACGTCAGGACAAGGTCTCCTCTCATTCGGGGTTTCATTATATCTTAGTGCATACGAAATAATAATAGATTGTCCATGAGTCAGTATATTTACAAGTGACTGAATACAGAAGCTTGATAGGAGCCCTGCAGTGAGAAATTAATTTTGAGACGCAGGCGCTCTATCATAAAAGTGCAGGGCGTGCGTTAAGGGAGCGCTGTTTCAGCATGAAGCCGAAATGTCACTGCTATATAACACCAATCAGAACAGGGTTTGATGTGAGAAACTCCAGCTGGGTCAAGTCAATAAGGGATTACATCAGGATACTTTGTTGCTGTTTGTTTGAAGTGGTTAACCATTTCCTGTAAAAATAGGTCCGTGTGACAAACAGCAAAAAATACTCTTTTAGGAAAATAAAGAATGGTGGACCTCATTAAAGGGAAACAACATGGTACTATGGTTCCCAAGTGGTTTTTTTCTTGTTTTTTTTAAATATAATATTGTTGGATAGAATATGGAACTGTTAACCCCTGACAGAGTCTTATTACTGTACTGTGTCTGGCCATGTTAATGAGATTTCCTCTCATGTTCTGTTCATGTGGCCTCACAGGAGGAACCTCCCCAATGGATGACAACTATGCAGAGGGGAGCCAAGCAACAGACATTCCTGAAAAGGGGGGGTTGCAATGAGTAATATTCTTCTTTACAGGGTGTCTTGTGGTGACAGTCACTTTAAGCCCACATGTGGACCAGTAGAAGTGAAAATATTTCAGTCATACTGGGTAATGCTTATTAACAATTATCACTATTACAATGTTCAGTCATGCTGCAAATTGATTTATGTGAGCAAGTGTGACAAAGTTTATCTTTGTGTGGTGTGGCATACTTTTTGAGTCTGTACAGGAAACAAATGCAAGGAAGTCTTTCTCTAAGCTCACAATACATCCTGTAAGTTGTGGTAGTCAAAATCCAAAAGACAGAGTGGTTTAAACGCTCTTTGATCTCTGCATTAGCAATTACACCATCCTTTCAGTCATGTCAGGTATGGGCCGTAAAACCATTCCGATTTTAAGGGACTGCAAAAGGTTGCCATGAAATGTTAGGGAGTTGCAGTTCCACAAGAGATGCAGCTTAACATAGTCATTATTAATTTCCTTTAATTTCTATAGCAATGACTATTCAAAACACTTAATAGATGATATAGAACTATTCACACCAATTCCTTTTAGAGGTATGTGCAACCTATTCTCCTTCTCAGTAATATACACTGAACAGCCATAACATTATGACCATCTGCCTAATATTGATTAGGTCCCCCTTTTGCTGCCAAAACAGCTCTGAGCCATTGAGACACAGATTCCACTAGACCTCTGAAGGTATGCTGTGGTATCTGGCACCAAGTTGCGAGGTGGGGCCCCAATGGATCGGACTTGTTTTTCCAGCACATCCCACAGATGTTCAATTGGATTGAGATCTGGAGAATTCGGAGGCCAAGTCAACACCTCAAACTAATTGTTGTGTTCCTCAAACCATTCTTGAACAATTTTTGCAGTGTGGCAGGGGCATTATTCTGCGGAAAGTGGCCTCTGCCATCAGTGAATACGGTTTCCATGAAGGGGTGTACTTGGTCAGCATCAATGTTTAGGTAGGTGGTACATGTCCAAGTAACATCAACATGAATGGCAGGACCCAAGGTTTCCTGGCAGAACATTGCCCAAAGCATCATACGTCCTCCGTCGGCTTGCTTTCTTCTCTTAGTGCATCGTGCTGCAATCTCTTCTTCAGGTAAGCGACACACACCAGGCCATCCATGATGTAAAGAGAAACATGATTCATCAAACCAAGCCTCCTTCTTCCATTGCTCAGTGGTCTGGTTCTGATGCTCACATGCCTATTGTAGGCACTTTTGGTGGTGGATTGGGGTCAGAATGGGCACCCTGACCGGTCTGCGGCTAAGCAGCCCCATATTCAACAAACTGCAATTCAATGTGTTTAGACACCTTTCTATTGGAACCAGCATTAACGTTTTGAGCCATTTAAGCTACAGTAGCTCTTCTATTAGATCAGGTTACACAGGTTAGCCTTCACTCTCTATGTGCATCAGTGAGCCACCCAGGACCTTGTGACCGGTTCACCGTTTTTCCTTCCTTGGGCCACTTTTGGTAGGTCCTGACCACTGCAGACTGGGAACATCCCACAAGAGATGCAGTTTTGGAGTTGCTCTGACCCAGTCGTCTAGCCATTACAATTCATCCCTTGTCAAAGTCGCTCAAACCTTACGGTTGGCCATTTTTTCTGCTTCTGGCATATCAACTTCAAGGACAAAATGTTCACTTGCTGCCTAATATATCCCACCCACTTCCCGGTGGCATTGTAACGAAATAATCAATGTTATTTTCACCTCTCAGTGGTCAAAATGTTATGGCTGATCATTGTAGACACACTTAAATGAGAACTATGGGGTAAGTGTTTTCCCCATAGTTCTCTTAAGGGTCACAGGAGGACATATACTTGCGTTCTCCCGTGACCAAAAGCTCAGTATATCGCAAGCTACATCCCGGCAATGCTGTTGAGATCCACCCAGCTGCGTGAATGACAGCTGGCTCTGCCTATCTAGACAGCTGGCCCTCCCCGGTCCGTTCCTCCACTTAGCCCTGGAGGATTAGAGCGGGTAGGGGGGAATCCCTGCAGGGAGCCGTGACTGACAGTCACGGCTCTCTGCAGGGAGACGATCGAGAAGTGAGCCCTTCCCGATTTATTGAGCCAACGTGTGACAGTTTCATTGTCACATATTGGCTCGAACTATGAGGTTGAGTGATTTTCACTCACTTCATAGTTCTTTTTTAAGGTGCCCATACACCTTGCAATCATCGTTCGATTTCT